AGCCCCAGGCGCCGCCTCTGCTTCCAGCGTCTGGCCTGCGCCGACCTCCACCAGCACTGGATGGCCCAGGCCCGGAGCGCTGCCTGCAGCAGCGCCTGGCGCACCCGGCCGCCGCGCCACCATGCCTGGATCCTCACGGCCGCCTTCTCTCGCTGACGGGCAGGGGAGAACACGGAGATGCCCGTGAGGTCCCGCTTAGTGCCGTCCGCCTCGGTGCAGTGAGGAAAGGGGGCCTGGCCTGGGGGGCCCCGACCTCTCCCGTCTGGGTCCCACCCGTCCGCTCCACCCTCCGCTCACCGGTAGACACTGCTTGTCACCCTCGGGGCAGGTCCCTCCTGCCCTGGCCTTGCTCACCTGTCCTGTGTCCATGGCCCTGGTCTTTAGAGCGCGCTCACCCAAGGTCAGGGGGTCACCCTAGTCCTCAGCCCCGCCCTCAACTGTTAGGCACCGCCTCCCGGGACTCCGCCCACCTGCCCCCTGGCCCCAGGCAGGTGCAGGCAGGTGTGGTCTGAGCACCTCTCAGCCGATCTCTCCTCTCCCCTGGAGTCTCACCCGGGGACCAGCTGCCTTATTGAGGGTTCCCAGCGTGTGGGGCCCTGCCCTCACCTCGTGCCTTCAGACGTAGCTGGTAACTTAAGTCTTGCTCTCCCCCGCCTGCCCCCCACCCCAGTCACTTCTTGCTGGTGCTGCTGGTGGCAGGGAAGAGGGATTCCGGCAGCTTCCCTCCCAGCTTTCACGTTGGGAATGGAGACTCCCCGCCCGTGTGGATTTCCGGGGCTGACGGGAGGGGCCTGTCTGTCCCAGGCGGGCGTGTGTCTGTGGAAAGTTCCTGAAAGCAAGGTGTCTGAGCTGCGAAAGGAGGGGCCTCCACGCCCCCCTCTGGCTCCTGCCACCTCCGTTGGGTGCGCAGGGGCTGCGGCGTCGTTGGGGGGTGCACTGAGCTTAGTTGGGGGTTAGATTCACGAGACTTACAGGCATCCCTGGGAATGGATACCTGCTCCCTGGCCATCCTGTCGGCACCAGGCCAAGGCCCGCCCGGGACCGCAGTGCTGCCGTGGCCACAGGGACGTGCCTCGCCGTGACGGCCCCTGCCGTGGACAGACGGACGGATGAGCAGGAGGAAAAGGTGAGGTTTGGAAGCGTGGAGACAGGCTGGTCGGTGAGTCCCTCCCCAGCAGACAGGTAACCCGCTGGGAAGGTTCTATCCCCCCACCCCACCCCAGTGCCCGCCTGACCTGGGACAGACAGACGTGAGGATGCAGCTCTGCCCGGCTTCGGCGGGAACGTTGTGAAACAGGTTGGTCACTCCTGCGGCTACGAGCGCCCCCAGCAGAGCATCCACCCGTGTGCGGGTGCGGGTGGGCCCGAGCCGCCCTCAGAAACAGGCTCCCACAGGAAGTGCTGTTTGCCAAACCACCTGTGAGGAGACAACGAAAGGCGATGCAGCTGAAATCCCGGGACACTGCCCGGGAGGTGGGGCGGGCCGCTAACGGCTATAACGCTGCTGTCTGAGCGCCGGCCGCCCCGGAGAAATGTGCCGTCTGTTGCACGCCCTTCCCCACCCTCCAGATCCACTCGCTGCCTTTGTGTCTGTCCTTTCGTGGCCATTTCATGTGAATCCTCACCTGAGAATATTTTCCCACTGATTTTTAGAGAGAGTAGAAGGAAGGGGGAGAGACCAAGAGAGAGAAACATGGGTGTGAGAGCGACACACCAACTAGGTACGTGCCCTTGACCAGAATGGAACCTGGGCCCTGCCTGCTGTGAGGGGCAGCGGCCGCCAGGCCTCCTGTGTCCAGTCCATCAGCCAGGTACCCAGTTCTCAGCTTCCGGGGAGAGGGAGGAGCCCTCAGGACCAGCCAGGGCCCCCGGCGCAGGCTCCAGAGGCTGCAAGCACGCTCTGTCTTCCTCTTCCTCTGAGGGCCGCAAGGTCACAGTCAGGAGATGGAGCCGCGTGTCCAGACCCCCAGTTAGGGCTGCGGCTGGGGGCGCAGGTGGTGCCGACCGGCCGGGGAGCCGCTGGGACACGCACAGCCACGCTAGCCCTGGCTCCAGCACGCGTGTCGTCGCCCGTTTGTCTGCCTGAGGCCTGCTGGGTGCCCAATGCCTGCAGGACCCACCTCTCCGTGGTGACCGCTCCCGTGCACTCCAGGTGCCTACAGTGAGGGCAGTGCCCGCCGGGCTCTTACATGAAGGCACTGCTCTCAACCATGTGACCTCTGCATTCTGTCACAGGTTTCCGGGGCGGACCCTGGTGCCTCCTTTCACGACTGTCTCTCTGGTGAGCAGCCACTTCCGGCAAAGGCCTCCGTCGCTGCATGAAACCGTCGGTCCTGGTGTCTGCCTCCACCCGCCAGCCCCACCTGCTGGATTCCGCAGGAGGGACCACTTAGGAAGGGGCTGTGGAGGGGGTCAGCGCTCTGGGCTCAGTCATCCAGGCCAGGTGTCCACAGTTACGGTCAAGACACCAGACCTGCCCGGCCCGTGTGGCTCAGCATTGACCTTCAGAGGTGAGAGCAGGCAGAGGGGGTCCCTGCTCCTGCAGTGGCTGCTGCTCACCTCCCAACTGTGACCTTGAGGCCCTGAGAGGAAGAGGAGGGAGAGGAAGAGGAAGACAGAAGCATGTTTGCAGCCACTGGAGCCTGAGCCGGGGGCCCTGGCTGGTCCTGGGGGCTCCTTGCTCTCCTGAGAAGTTGATAACTGGGTTTCCGGCTGATGGGCCAGGCCCAGGGGGTTCAACCAAAACATTTACTCTGCCCCCCTAATCCCACCACCACCCTCAAGGATGATTTTGGCTACAATGTTATAGTATATACACCCCTGACCCCTCCTTTTAAAGTGCCTTTTTTTTTTAAAGTGTTTTTATTTATTTTAGAGAGAGAAAGGGAGAGAGAGATAGAAACATCAATGATGAGAGAGAATCTTTGGTCATCTGCCTCCTGCACGCCCACTACTGGGGATTAAGCCCACAACCTCGGACATGTGCCCTGACTAGGAATTGAACTGTCTTCTCCTGGTTCATAGGTCAACACTCAACCACTGAGCCACACCAGCTGGGCTCAGTATATAAATTATATATATATAAAATTTTTTATCGCTTAAAGTATTACGAAGTCTCCTTTCTCCCCCGTTGACCTCTCCTTAGCCACTCCCACCCCCAGCACACGCCCTCGCCCACCCCACTGTCTGTGTCCATGGGTTATGCGTAAATGCCTGCTTACAAGCCTTTGGTTGGTCTCTTCGGGAAATATCCCTTATTGTAGCCATCCTGCAGTCCGTCTAGAGCTGAGTCAGGTGGCTCTGACCTTCCTTTTCCTCATGACTAATGAGCTTGGACAGTGTTCCGTGTGCTTCTGGCCACTTGTAAGTCTCCTTTGGTGAGGAAGGACTTGCTTAAGAATGTGGTTCCTGACTCGTTCTTTCTAATCGTTTGGTTCCATTGCTTCACGGAAGTCCATGTGTTTGAGTGCCTGACTGATAGAGTGTAAATTGTCTCAAGTTCAGATTTCCAATCAACCAGACGGAAAGAGGGAACTCTGTACACTTTTTAGACCAATGGACTAGTGTCCGGGAGCCTTGAGTAATTGGCCAAGGGTTAGGTATTTACGGGAAAAAGAGTGGAGAGGCGTTGCACATCTTTTTACCCAAAAGGCCTCAATTGTGGGGAGGCATCCTGGCCCCTGAGTCATAGGGGCCCTATGACATCACAGTGCTCCTATGACATCAGAGTGCTCTCCCACCTCCTCTCTTCCTTCCCGGGCCTCGGCTGGAGGAGTACAGAACTAGAGTGACGGGACCACCAAGCTCTTAACGATGGAGCATTTGGGGAGGGGATGAGACTTGAGAAATTAGAACCACCTATTTCCAAGTCATGGGTGTTCAATTTTGTGTAAGAACAGCCAGTCCCCTCGGTGCCCACAGGGGAAGGTAGATTTCCAGGGGCCCCAGGATGCCATCCTGCATCGAGGTCTCTGGGCCAGGCAGGAGGTGGGGTACATGGTGGTCAAGGCACACGGTAGTGCAGGAGCCACCTACCCACGCCTTTCTCCTCTGACTCTGATCACAGAAGGGAGGCCAACTTATAGAAATCATAATCGAAGATAATGAAGGTATCATCTTGCTGATGCCACGTGAGGAGGAAATTAAGAAAGCGCCTCCAGCCCCACCCATTATCCCACTGGTAGGTCTGTGGGGACCTCACCGTTGAGGGTGACACTGACCCCAGCCTGCACCCCCTCTCACCCACGTCACCCAGCCGTGAGGGGACGTCTTCTCTGAGGCCCACAGCATGGGATTCTCAGGGCACTTGCCATCCAACCAGGATGCATTTGTGAGGGGAAGACAAAGCTATGAGTGATGCCTCGGGAACAACCATCACAAAGCGAGAAGGCCCTGGAGCCCCCCAACATGCCCTCTCATTAAGTCTGAGGCTTGAACCTGTCCAAACACTGTAGCCACTCTCCACACCCCTGCCTTCTGAGGCAGGGGTTGTGGCTGATAAAGGACCAGGACCCCTTCCTGGCACCTCCTGGGGCTGAGGTGGGTGGGGAATGGGTCCTGAGTGTCCCTTTTCCTGGCTACCCCTCCCTACAGGTAAAGAAGCCCCCTGATAAAGAAAAGCAAGCCACGCAGATCCAGGCCTGGTGGCGGGGCACCCTGGTGCGCCGGGCGCTGCTGCACGCCGCGCTCTGCGCCGCCAC